CTGAGCTATACCCCCAGCCCTATTTAAGGCCTCTCTTATATAAGAACTTTATTCCCTTTTATCTTATTGAGCCATCCATCCAAATCACGCCCACCATAGACAATCATCAGATATTTTTAATATGTATTTATTTATTTGTTTGGTATAGGGGATTGAACCAAAGGGTACTAAACCAGTGAGCCACATCTCCAGCCCTTTTTATTTTTATTTTGAGACAGGGTCTCACTAAGTTGCTGAGCCTGGCCTTGAACTTCCTCCTGCTTCAGCCTTCTTTTTTTAATATTCATTTTTTAGTTGTATGTGGTGCTGAGGATCAAAGCCAGTGCCTCACACATGTTAGGTGAGCACTCTACTTCTGAGCCCCAGCCCCAGCCCTGCTTCAGCCTTTTGAGTAGCTGGAATTACAGATGTGTGCTGCCTCACCCAGCATCCAATGTACCCAAAATGTCATCATTTTAACATGTAATCGATGTAAAAATTACTAATGAAATTGATTAAATTCCTTGTTGTACTAAATCTTCAAAATCCAGGGAGCACTTTACTCAGTATAATATCTCAATTTGGATTCTAAATTTTCATCAGAAGTACTTAATCTGTAGTTAGATTTCATAAAATTCACTGTTGAAAAACTAGATTCACATACCTAAGTTTTCTCAAGCATACTTAAAAGTTTTCCAGTAACTGCATCAAGTACAAAAATAATTATTTTCCTTTCATATTTACATACAAATTGACAAACCAGCTTCATATATTTTAGAAAAATTGACTTGACTTTGAAGCAAAAGCATATCAGTTTCAAAATGCATCTGTCCAATTAAAGTCACTAACTCTTATGATATTTTCCTTGTTTTCCTATGTTTACTAGATAGCCAGTAATATACAGTCTGTAATTAAGGAAGTTGTATCTTTGAGTTAGTTGTGCTTCTCACCTGTCTTGTTGTGCTGTCCTTGGGCATATAGGTTGCTTTGGCCAACAGTGTGTACCTGTGTCATTGAGCTCAGGGGGTCCTGGTAAGGGGGTAAGGATGGTAATTTAACCCTAAAACCGAGAGCCCTAGGCACAGAGACTCCTAAATAATCAGATCCAACCCTACAAAATAACTCTTTGTGTTAGGAATTCACCTCCACCCTCCCCAGGGAGAAGTAGCCTGAAGAGGAAGACCTTCTTGAATTCTCCTGCCCTGGAAGTTTAGAGGGGCTGAGGAGGGGAAATATCTGTCCAAGGTTAGTCTGCCTCCCTCCTACCTGTTTCTATCAACTCCTTGCAAGTGCAGTGCATTTTCATGCCTTGATGTTATTACCTTATTGACACCTGGACCACAGTTTTGAGTCATACTGGTAAGCAGGTGGCACTGTTTGTTCCAAGATGGTAGTAGAGGAAAAGAAGGACCAGAGTCCCAATAATTCCTTTTTTTTTTTTTTAATCTTTGCAAAGCTACTCCTGGCCACTTCCTACCCCAAACTGAAGCTACTCCTCTATCACATACACCCTGGTTTAGAGGCCCTCCCTTTTACCCAAGAGGTTCTTCACTATTTTCCTAATTTCTTGGCATTTTCTCTTTGTAATTTTTCTGTTTGATCTTGGGAGAGGGAGTGGCAGGCATGTTAATCACTTGTTTAATCCTTGGGACCACTCTATGAAGTTATATTAGCAGTCTCATTTCACAGATGAGAATACAGGCTTGAAGAAGTTAACTAGCTTGCCTGTGTTACTGAGTCAGGACTTCGATCCAGGCAGTCTGGCTCCTGAGTGGGCCCTCTTAACCTCTGCCTCGCAGGAAAACCCAAATTATCCAGTGTCCTGTGTGGGGATGCATTAATGGAGAGTTGATCAAGGCATTGTCTGGCAATGTGCAGGCTTAAGAGAACTGAGGAGAAGAGAGGGAAAATGACAAGGGCAAGGCATTAGCAGCCAGGCCTGCTGTCAGCAGCATTTGATCCTGGGCAGGAGACTGACGGATGGCTCTCAGGGCAGGACAGGCCCTGTGTGGCTAGAACTGAAGGGAGGAGGGGTGAGCATCTGCGAGCCCAGCCCACGCAAGGACTGATGTCAGTGCTCTGTGCGTTGGTCTCCAAATTTGACATCTGATATAAACTTGTTGGTGTGAAATTCTATCCTGCATTTTCAGTCCACTGGATTTGAAGTTCTTCCAGGGCAGCAGTTGGGCCGGAACGACTGGCCCAGGCACCACTAGATGCTTCCCAGAGGTGGTTGTCAGGCTGCCAGTGTGCACTGCTATACTTGTCTCTTCACACTTCTGCATCTCCTTCTTTCCTTTTCTCTGATTGGCCAACATGCACTGGGGGTAAGTCTCGGTTGTAGACACTGTGAAGGAGACTCTAGAAGGATGAGACTTGAAGGTCAAAGTCAGCAACCAGGAAATAGATGAGGAGCACAGGAAGGTAAAACCTCTGACTCCAGTTACTGGACTCTAATGAGTTTCAGTAAAAACAAGGCCAGTGTCTGTCTGGTGTATGCTCTAGATGTACAGATCTTGCCTTGAAACCACTGTTTCCTAGTTGCTTCTGAAATGCCAGGCACTTTTTTTTTTTTTCCTTCTGGGGTTGCTAAAATAGAATCAGAAACGGATTTGAAGAGCCTCTCCTTCCCCGTTGTGGCGCCTGTGGTCCGAGGTTTCAGGCAGACAGGCTCCTCCTTTGAGTGTCCACTGACAAGGCAGGCTGCCTGGCCCTAGGGACATGCCACATGCTTTCTGGGCCACAAATATTTCACACCCTAGGTTCCTAGCTGCCTCCCAGCCCCCTCTCCCTTTCCTTTCTACCCTTCCCTCAATCCTAAATCCACACTTTACAATCCCTTGGCCACTGTCACCTTACTTTGTCTCTCCTTCATGTGGACCCCTCTCCTGGAGTTCCTTCAGGGAAATCTAAGCAGCCTGTTCGTGTATGGCTTTAAATGCCTGGGAAAGCAAAGAAAAATGAACTTGTATGCTTGTTTTCTTGTGCTAGGGGTTGTTTGCAGAGCCTCATGTTATTTCTCATTAAATCTCATAACTTGAGAAGGAGATGTTTACTTAAAGGTCATGAGGATTCTTAGCCCGAGATTAGGAAGTAGTAAATCCAGGCTTCAGGGGAACTGTCTGCCTCCAAAGTCCACACTCTCTGTCTTGGGGTGCCCCTGGAGCCCAGTTCAGTATTCCCACCTCATAGTGCTATTTCCATGGAGACTTAATATTTTGCTTCTATCTATAATTTTTTTTTAAAGGGAAGAAAAGATAAGAACAACCTCCCAGCCCTCTTTTGAGGGATCATACTTCTTTCTAGAATTACTAGGATGACTCGTTTTTTAAATTGGTTTTTAAACTGGGGTCATATGAGAGCATTTCATTTAGTGGTTATTTAAAAAATTTAAAACCTTGAAACTATTTCTTTGAAAATGATCCTGGGAATCCCCATGTATAAAACACACAAGGGGGAGCTGCTTGAAGTGGCGGTGGCAGAGGGAGCTCCTAGACCCATGTCCTTTGCAATTAGAAGCATGTCTGTGGAATTTTAGGATTGCTTCTGTTGAATGTTCTTTGAAAGTTTCTGATTATCTCTTCACTTTAGAGATAGACTGAGGCCAAAAGAGACAAAGTGGCTGGGGCAGTTTGGACTAGTGACTGGTCTCCAGCTTCCAGGGGTTCTGCCAGTCTTACAGGTGAGAAACTGTCCTGGAAAGTCCAAGTATCTTTTCTGCTTCTCTCAGCTTTATTCCTCTTTTTCCTCTGAATTTTACAGAAATTAAAGATTCTGTTCAAAGCAGTTCTGTGTGGTAGATAATTTTTTTCTAAAATATTTTATTGGCATTCAAAGTTTTTTTTAAAAAACAAAAAATAGTATGAGCTCATTATAAAAATTTCCATTAATATAGGAAGTGAAAAATTTTAAAAAGCTGCAAATTGGCATCATCCTCTCATTCTCAACCACTAAGTCCCCAGGGGTGTCTCCTGTTGACAGTTGATGGCGTATCCATCCTGATCTTTCTGATGAACACACAAACATGTATGCTTCTCTCCCCACATAAGTGGGACTATAATATAAATCATTCAAATAAATGCTTTCAAATCAGACACACCTCATTTTTGGCCTCAATCTCTGCATGTGTAAAATGGGAGTAAAAAATAGTATTTGTAGGATTATGGTGAAGATTTAATGAGTTTTTATATGAATAGTGCTTAATTGTGGCTGGCACAGAGTGAGCATAAAACAGACACACACACACACACACACACACACACACACACACACACACACGGGCGGGGGTGGGGTGGAGGATTGCAGACTGAGTTAGAAGTAGAATAAGACTTAAGTCCTACGTTTTCTGACCTCCAGTCTCCTAACTTTCTACTGCCCATTGAATGAATGTGCGTGGATGGACGGGGCAGGCAGGTAGTAGACCTAGGGACTTGAGGTCTGTGGAGCTGTTCTGGGATGGCCGCCCTAGAAAACAGAGGCTTTCACCCCTGGGATGGGGAGGGTGTGGGGCAGCAGGGTTGGCTGGCTCAGCTGTTGCCTCAGGGCTCCATGCCGGGAGAGTTGAGCCTCAGGGCAGAACTGAGGGCGCAGAGTGGCTCTCAGCTTAAAGGATCTTGGCTTAAAAGGAATGTGCAGGGGTTGCCTCTGCTCAGGAGGGGCTAAAAAAAGCCGCGCCGTCCCCTGGGCTTTGTGTGAGGGTTATCAACCGCTCAAGTCAGCTCATCTCTCTGGCTGCTCTGGCATTTTTGAGAGGGTCTGTTTTCCTGGCCCCTCTGGGTTTCCACCAATTGGCGGGAAGGAGTCAGCCGTCCCAGAGGTGGAGGCTGCGAGGAGTGAGGTGTGTGTGTGTGTGTGTGTGTGTGTGTGTGTGTGTGTGAGGGGGCTGGTGGCCCTAAACCTGGTGACAATGCACAGTTGTCAGCTGTACCCTGCTGGTGTTTCTTCCTTTTATAGTCAGCAGCAGTTGCTCTTGCTCTCACCCAGCCCCTCTGTGGGGGCTCCTGCCCAGGATAAAAGCCGAGGGAGGCGGCCTGGTCTCCTATCTCATCTCTCAGGAGTCGCATCTCTTGGTTCCTTCTTAGGTCCCACCTCCACTGAAGATCCCAACAAGACAAGATGCCTCCCAAGAAGCCTGAACCTAAGAAGGAGGCGGCCAAGTCAGCCTCAGCCTCTGCCCCAGCCCCTGCTCCAGCCCCTGCCCCAGCTTCCGCTCCTGAGCCCCCCAAGGAACCTGCCTTTGACCCCAAGAGTGTAAAAGTAAGTGAAGTTCAGGAGGGTGGGATGATATTCAGGGTTCTATTTGTCCTGGAGCATAGAGAGAGCCCTCACAGAGGTCAGTCTGGCATGAGGACTATGGTGTCCATGCCCGAGATCACAGCCCCAAGGGCCAATGGAGCCAGTATTAGACTCGGGCTGAGGGCTGTCTCTGGCCATAGCCTTTTTTCCTTTAAGAACAGGATACTTCATCCAAGGAAGTCCTGTTTGGCATCTCAGATTTGCCCAGCAGAGTTGAGAATGGTGGGAGGTATAACCAGTCAACCATCCAACCTTTTTAAAGGCCTTTGGGGCCATCATAGCAGAGTAAAGGAAACTGACTTTCCTGGAGGTGGTTTGATATCTTTATGGAGTAGACAAATAACTAGGAGTAAGCGATGTCTGCAGTCAGGGAGGATGCTCCCAGTGTGCGGGAGGTCTGGGAAAGTCCTCATTCACAAACACCCTGTAGAGGGTTGATGGGGTGGGAAGGAAGGCTGTAGATACAGTAAGAAGAGCCTGGGTCCTTCTTTTCCTCTTTCCCTGCCCAAAGGGGCTCCTCCTTTTGTGGCCTGAGCCCCTATTTGTAGTTTGCTGCGGACTGGCCCATCCCAGCTGAGACCTCCTCTCTAACCTTGCCAGGAGCCAGGCCTGCTTCCCTCTGCCTCCGCAGCTCTACTCCCTCCCTGCCCTGCCCTGTTCCCTCATCTGGAATACTCCCTGGAGCTGGTGTGGGTCCTGTGGGCTGACTTAGTAATTTTAGGCCTCCCTTAGCTATCTGACCCAGCTGCAAAGGAATGAACTGGGAGGGGGTGGGCACAGGAGGGAGGGGTCAGAAGCTTCTGGAGAGGAGAAATTTTAAGTCATGACACCAGAATAGGAGAGGTCAAGTGGCCACTGGAATGAGGAGCTATTAATAACATCGAAGGAGTGGTAGGCCCCCCAGGGATCTCAGCTTTAGGGCAGTGGCTGGGAGGGTAAGGGGTCAGGTCAAAATAGAGGCTCAGGACCAGGTGCTGTGACCAATGGGAATAGAACCCAAGGTCCAGGGCTCTAGACGTAGGACCCTCCCTGGCCTCCTCAAGATTTCCCAGTACCTACAGGAGGGAATGCCCTACAATTATCTGTCGAAGACCTTGGGATTGAGCCACAAGGGGCAGGAATTAAGTAGAACTGTCTTGACCAGGGGGTGGAGGCAGTGGCCCCATTCCTGGGCTTGGTTATGGCTTCCTCTGGCTAGACCTAGTTTAGTACATGACCTTAAAAGTATTTGAAGGTTTCTCTGTCATATGTCACTATGGACTAAGACTGGCAAGAGAAGCTCACCATCCGCCCCTCAGGAACCCTCCTCATCTTTCTTTGATTTATTCTGATAAAGTGCCAGGCCTGGTCCCTGGTGTCTGGGAGGGAGTGGCCTGGTGGTATCATGGGGGCCCTTCCCTGTGCCTATCACTTCCCTCCATCCTCTCACCTCTCCCAATTTCCTATTGCAGTCCTCTTTTCTGGTGGTTTTTTGAAATTGCTCTAAAGTATGGGGGAAAAGAAAAGCAGTGTCTTTCCCAAGATTCATTTTTTCCTTTTATTATACTTACCCAATGCCTTTGTTTATAAGATTCTTTTCTCAAAGAGAAAGCAAAGGTAAACTTAAGTCCAATGTGTGTGGTTCTATTGTAGCCAGACTTCAGCTTTTATTTACTTATTCATTTTTTGGTAACAGAGATTGAACCCAGGGGTGCTTAACCACTGAGCAACATCCCCCACTGCCCCCCCCCACTTTTTAAAGAAGCAAACTTAAAGAATTTGAGACAGGGTCTCACTAAGTTGCTTAGGGCCTCTTTAAATTGCTGAGGCTGGCCTCAAACTTGCGATCCTTCTGCTTCAGGCAGGCAAGCTGCTGGGATTACAGGAATGCACCACCATGCCCGGCTTCCAGACTTCATGCTTTTATACTAGTTTCTCTTACATACTTTTCCTGGGCTTAAAGCATTGCAAAGTAAGGCCTACTATATCTTTTTCTCAGAGAGTTAATGCAGAGCATCCTTTATCCCATTTAACATACTCACCAGTACCCCAAACCCACATTTGGCAAAGTCCATTCCTAGTTTCCTTGCAGAACTAGGACTAGGAATAGTGGCACATGACGAAGATGCTCCAGGGTAGCAATCGCTGCTGCTGGGGAGGGGAGGGGTTGGACGGGGTGGGATGCCATGAAATGGGTTAGGATGCTGAGGTGACATTTCAGGTCTTGGTGAACATGACTCATGGCTGGTCATTGCCATTCATTTTTGGAACCTCCTACACTCCTCCTCTGTATTTATTCAGCATTGAATTAGGCATCATGGGAGTGTCAGGTCCACGGCCCAGCTGTGCCAGGGCAGTAGGATAGGTTGCCAAGAGGCCAAAGAAAATACCTGGGACAGCATACAAGGCATAAGACTTTGTTGGGAAAGCAGTGGCAATAGGTGGAACAGGCAGCACCTGTATCGCTCACTGCGCTTCACCAAGCAGTACCTCCTCTCTCACACAGCACCTTCACAGTGGTGGCCGGCTGGATGAGTGACACATGTCTTTTCCATGGTGCCCTCAGTTCCGCCCCAGTTTTCTCAGGGAGGGGTGTGGCTTTATATTTGGCTACAGATGCGGTGATATCATTAATTTACTTTGCTTTGTCCCTTGTATGACCAGCATTCCAAGGAGCAGCTACCCTGGTGTGCACGCAAGAAAGCAGCTTTCTACAGATAACACTAACTTGCCCTAGATCTCAGCATGCCTGAGAGAAAGTTGGTATCTTCCCGGTAATACTTATTTAGGCATTTGGCCCTGGGTCAACTCTCATGGTTCCCTGGGCTTGGCTAGGTCCTTGTGAACTAAAAGGGGCATTTAAGGGACATGATATTACTAGCTCCTTTTCTTTAAGGACAATACGGGGAGAATCCAAAATTTATTCCTGTATTAAACCAATATTTTTGTGAGTGGCTACTATGTACCAGGTATTTCAGTGAGCAATAACAAAATCTCTGTCCTGCAGGAACCCTGGCTTCAAGGACACAGGGTACACATGGAAGGCAATGACTAGAAAACTATCACAAAGCAACAAGGGCCCATGTAAAGGACTCTTGCTGTTCCAAAATGTCTAAGATTGCAATGTGCTGAAGGAGGGTTTGGGGTGGTGACCAGTGATGGGAGGGAAAGCTCCATTGAGGGAGGTGGATCAAGTAGAAAAGGAAGTAAATCCAAGGGTGGGCACCCAAAGCAGGAGGAGCTGCAGCTTGTCAGAGGGCTGTGGAATGGGGAGAGACTGAAGGGTAGATGTGAGAGCAGTTTAAGTGTGGCCAGGATGAGGAGTTTATCAATAGGGAGTAGGTTCTCGAGTTTTTTACATGATTTTTCTTTCTGTTTCCCTCTGGGTTTTGATAGAGGTTTGGAGGCTGTATATTATATGTGGCCTGTCCATGAGGAGGCTGGGGGCATACACTCGGCCTGCAGTCTCCTTCCTGCTGGAGGTGACCAGGCTTCCCTTTGGAAGCTGTTAACAGTCTCTACCCTCACTCCTCTGTTTCCCTCCCCACAGATAGACTTCAGTGCTGACCAGATTGAAGGTGAGTACAAACAACCCTACTTTCCCCTCTCAGCTGCGTTTTTTTTTTTTTTTTTTTCTTGAGGAAGAGGAGAAGGCACAGACCAGGGCACTTTCTATGGATTAACTCGTTTAATTCTCATAACAACCCTACACAGTAGCAACTACCACCCCCATTTTCTAGATGATAAAATGGAGGCCCCGAGAGTATGGGGGGATTTGTCCAGTCTCACTCATCAGTCAGTGGTGGGGCAGGGTTCACACCTAGGCAACCTGATTCTTCTGAGATCAGATGAGATTGGGCATGTTCAGGGTGGCATGGCTGTAGACAGCAACCGGATTCTTAATTGTTCAGCTAGACGGCTTAGAACATAACAGATGCTCAACAAGTGTTAGTGCCCTTTCCCCTCCACCCTAAAGAGCTACTCAAGTTATTTGGAAGCCCTCATTTCTGTTCCTGTTTTTGAAAAGCCCTCCTTAGGTTACTAGCTTCCCTCCCCATCATGAGGCCTGTCAAGATGCTAACCCACTATGGTTGCTGGGTCAATGGTGACCTGTGGGAACCCCAGTTCATCTGCGATCCCCTCAAGCACTCTTCTCTACCTTGGATGGAGATGATTTATGTTTTCTCAATCTTACATAAAGTGTTGTTAAATACAACTTCAAGATAAGTTTCAAGATCTCCCACCCTCTGATCTGATTTTCACCCCTTAGTCCCTCTTTTGTTGGGGTCTGATGTTTCAAGAATGAAATGTGTACTGGTAGTGATGGTGCACACTTGTAATTCCAGAGACTTGGGAGGCTGAGGCAGGAGGATTGAAAGTTCAAGGCCAGCCTCAACAACTTAGCAAGACCCTAGACAACTTAGTGAGAGTCTGCTTCAAAATAAAAAAATAAAAGGACTTGAAATATAACTCAGTGGTATAGCACCCCTGATTTCAATCCCCTGATCTCAATTACATATAATTTTATTAAAAAATAAAAAAATATATAAAATATACATATACACTTATACATAAATGCTCTAAAATTATCAGGACTGCATTTACAGATGTTTGGGTTATTTCCAGTTAGGGAAAACTGTTCTTTCCCCAGGCAAGCTTCCTAGCTGCGAGTCAAAGGATATGCACATTTTAAATTGTGATAGTTATTGCCAAATTGCCCTCCAAAAAAGCGATGCAACTTACCCACAAATAGAGCATGAGAACTGGCATATGCATTTTGAATGAGTAAATGGAATCATATTGGCATTTGTTTTTTGTTGTTCTTTGTTTTTGTTTTTTGGTCCTGGGAATTGAACCCAAGGGCACTTTACTGCTGAGCTATATCCCCAACCCTTTTTATTTATTATTTTGAGACAGATCTCACTAAGTTTGCACTCTGTTTTTGTACTCTACTGTGGATATTCACTTTCAGTCAATAGTTTTTGGAATTCTGTGGAATTCTTAAGGTTATTTTTTGTGCATTTTAATGAAATATCTACAACATAAATGAGGACTGGAAAATCAACTAGTGATAAATTTTTTCTTTTCCCAAATGAAAATCTTTGTTAAAGCCAACTGGGATAGTTAGGGGGATTGGTCACTTCAATCTTTTTTAAAAATTATTTTATTTATATATTTATTTATTTTATGTGGTGCTGAGGATCAATACCAGTGCCTCACACATGCTAGGCAAACGCTCTGCCACTGAGCCACAGCCCTGGCCCCCTATTTAATCTTTTAATTTGAGACATGTTCTCACTAATTTGCTTAGTGTCTTGCTAAATTGCTCAGATTGGCCTTGAACTTTCAATTCTCCTACCTCAGCTTCCCAAGTCACTGGGATTACACATGTGCCACTGCTCCTGGCTTGGTTCTTTTTAATTCAGAAATTCTGTGACTATTTAGCATTCTGTAGTTACCCTCCATCTGTTTAGAAATAGTTGTCACCCCCCCCCCATTTTTTTTTAAAGACTAGTATTGTTGGGAAACACGTTTTTATTTATTTATTTTTTACCTTTATTTTATTTACTTATTTTTATGTGGTGCTGAGGATCGAACCCAGAGCCCTGTGTGTGCTAGGCGAGTGCTCTACCACTGAGCCACAACCCCAGCCCCTCAAACCCCTTCTTAGCTTTATATTTATTAGGTGATAAGGCCCAAATTTCTTTTATGCTTTTCCTCTCATATGAACTAATTTCTAACTCTTGAATTCCCTCTCTGGTCCCTCCACAGATTTCCATAACTTTCCTTCTGGAAAGTTATTGTCACCATTGCACTTGTTCTAGGAGGCACTGACTACACTACTGCAGACTATTGAGGAAAGGCTTTTCTGGGCCCATGAGCCTCACCTCTAATGCCACTGGCTTTGTTTTTTCCTAGTAACAATCAAACTTCAGCTTTGATTTGTATGTGCTTAGTGGACTTCCCAGCAGGCCAGGTACAGTTGGACCATTCTTGCAGGCACAGCAAGCAGGCCTCTTCCTCTTCCTCCTTTCTCTCCACCATTTCTATTTGGCTTCCTTAATAGATGCTCAGTAACCATGCTGAGCATTTGCTCTGCATTTGGCTTATAAGTGAAGATAACAATGCCTACAACGTAAGTTTTTTTTTTTTTTTTTAGTATAATTTTTTTAAAAGATTAATGAGTAATCTATGCAAAATTACCAGCTCAAAGCCTGTGCTCAAATCCCAAGTAATTGTTCTTATTATTCAGTTTTTCCTATTAAATATCACTATATCTTTTTTAAAATATATTTTTTAGTTGTTTATGGACTTTTATTTTACTTATTTATATGTGGTGCTGAGAATCGAACCCAGTGCATCACGCATGCTAGGCAAGCACACTACAACTGAGCCACAACCCCAGTTCACTATATCTTCTTAGATGAGGAAATTCTCTCTTTTGTTAAGTCTGACTTCACTCTTCTGAGTGAATTAGGAGAAGATCAAAATATCTGGGTTCAGATTCAATTATTAAATAATTATCGAACCTGAATTTGTGGCAGACACCATGCTAATTATGTTACACATTAGGAAATTGAATTCTTATAACAAGCTGTGAGGAGTTGTTATTTCCTTTTTACAGAGTAGGAAACCAAGTTTCAGAGAGATTAAGTGACTTGGCCAAGATCACAAAGTTAAATGATAAAGCTGAGATAAAACTCAGTGAAATGATACTAACAGTGTTGTGTTACTGTGTGATACTAACAGCATTGTGTTTACTATGTTTTTTGGTAAATTATGTTAAGATTTTTACATACATTATTTTATTTGCTTATACTCTAGAACTAGTCTAAATATAATTTAAAGACCCTATGAGGTAGGTGCTATTAATAAAAGAGATTAAATATTCACTTTCTCAAGGTCATAATAAGGAAAAGAAATGGAATTTGAATTCAGTTATTGATTTTGAGTTCATATGAAGTCTAATAAAGAGTTGTAAGTAAAGATCCAGGGGGATGTGCTTTGATATGTAGATGTCTAAATAATCCATATACAGCCTCTAAGGAAAAAAAGCGTTTCTAAAGCACTTGAAGAAGACTAAGAACAGCTTTTCTCCTAAGAACTTCACACATTCTTCTTTGGCTTATACTGTTAATCTGCTTAGTAAACCACTGCTTTGTGGAAATCAACTTCAGTGCCACTCCCAGTACAAATGATCCCCACTAATGAATTGGTTGAATCCAGATTAATGAAGAATTAAGGCTCTTTGCAAAAGTCCCAGGAGTGCCTTAGTTTGACCTTGCCCCTTGGACACCTGCCCTGCTGGCCCTGAGGAGTCCATCTTTATAATACTGAGTTCCCTCTAGAACTAGGAAACATAGTTGACCACCATTCACGGATTCCCTTATCACATGCAAGACACCATGCTTGGAGTGCTTTGTGATCCCGCCAGCAACCTGCTCAGGTGGACATTGTATCCCTACTTACAGCTAAGAAATCGAGGACCCACAGAGGTTGGCAATTTGCCCAAGCAGCATATGGATCAGTGGCAGAGCTGAGGTGGTCTGACTGTGTCCCAATGCCACCTTACGTGGAGAAGGAGTCCTCTTTTAGCCTGGAACAGGCAGTACTGATAATAGTTGATTCTTGAGCAGGTATTATCACTTAGCAAAGTACCTCCACATCCTGCTACCTCTGTTGACACTGGGGAGGGGTGGTGAGGGAGAGCTCTCACCCTCTAGTTTGCACAAGAAAACTGAGACCCAAACTGGCTTGTCCTTCTCTGTGAGCCAGAGCTGAGGTGAAAACCCAGGGACCCTCACTCCCAGGCTGGGCCTGTTTCAATTCTCTGTTCAGCAGTCAGGACTCTCAGCTACACCAGGGAAGGACAGGTAGTGGGAGGGGTGGAGGCAGGGGAGACATTCAAATTGTGTAGCAATGGGCTGATAGGAGACAGTTCAGGCCAGGGCTGGACTGGACACCAGGCTGCCACTCTATTGACAGAAGATGGAGTGGGGACAGGTTCCAAGGAGAGCCTGGGACAGGGGCCAAAGGAAAATACTGGCTTATTTCAATCACACATTAACCTGTTATTCAGTGGGGTGGAGGCTGAGCAGACCCTGGCCACTGCCTTCTCTTGGGACCAGTAGGCTATAGCTGACTCTTCTCTCTACAGAGTTCAAAGAGGCCTTTTCGTTGTTTGACCGGACCCCAGGTGGAGAGATGAAGATCACTTACGGGCAGTGTGGGGATGTGCTGCGGGCCTTGGGCCAGAACCCCACCAATGCTGAGGTGCTGCGTGTGTTGGGCAAGCCCAAGCCAGAAGGTTAGTGTGGGGCCTGGCTGACCTCTCCCAGCACTGCCCAGCAGCTCCTGGTCCAGATTCAACTCCTGTCAGTCTCACTCTCTGTCCTCCCCTTTAGCCCTTCAGGACCAGCCTCCCTTACCCAGGTTACCTGATTCCCATTGTGAGAATTATCTAGAAGCCTTAGCCTTAGATGACTCTTGAAGAATGGAGCCTGTGCTTGCTCTTGGTTCCCTCATGAGGCTGGGAGCTCATGGAAGGCAGGAGAGACCTGCTACTGCTTCAGTGTCTTCCTCTGACCCCCTCCCCACCAGCTGTCAGGGACATGGCATGGGCAGGAACACTGACTGGAAATAAGATAACTAGTCACCCACTATCTCTAACCCTGAAGCTTTTAGTTGAAGTGTCTGTCACAGCACTGTGTCCTGTGAGTCGTATCACACATCGTTCCTAATAAGTGGTAGAGCCCTGAAGTTGGCAATTGATTTGTTTAATGTAAATTAGAGGATATTCAAAATTAGCTCTACAATGAAGCATCTTTCCCTCCTTTGAACCAAAACTTGGTGGATTTTTTTGGTGAGAATTTAGAAAGTTGTGCAAGGACATATGTCCCATTTGTAAATGTCAACTGTTGTGTTTGGCAGTGAAATTAACAGCTACCGACAAACGCACACAGCCTGTCCTCAAGGTGTGGAGTTGAGGGGATCAGGTGGACCTGGGCAGGGGCATTAGCAAGGGTGGGCTGTCTCTAGAGGGTTCCTGGGTCTCAGATTGGTCCTCTCTGCCTCCCTTGGTTCTGACCTCTTCCCCTTCTGCTCTGACTGAAGATAATAGTGATGGGGGCAAATATTGTGGGCAGGAAAGTGTCCAAGGGCTATGAGATTGCCCATATTATCAGAGCTTTTTAGAGGTCAATAGAAAACCTGGGCTGAGCACAGTGGTGCACGCCTGTAATCCCAGCAGCTTGGGAGACTGAGGCAGGAGGATTGCAAGTTCAAACCAGCCTCAGCAACTTAGTCAGGCCGTGTCTCAAAATAAAAAACAAAAAGGGATTGGGGGTGTATCTCAGTGGTAAAGCATCACTGGGTTCAATCTCTAGTTAAAAAAAAAGTCTACATTGTGAATATGAACCCTGGGGCCTGGGCTGTGTGGCCTTTTGGGCTCCTCAAATCCTGCTGCTGCCATCTGCAGCTCCTCTGCCAAGGTGGCCACCTGGAGCTCTGAGATGTGGGTGGAGTCAGGTTCCTTTTTCTTCTGCTCTTCTTCTTTGCCTGGGAATAGACTGTCCTGGGCCCAAGTCTCCTGCTCTGCTCCTGTGGGCAGCTCTGCGCCCTCCAGGACGATTTCTGGGTGGTGCCAGGGCTGGGGTGAGGTCTCGGCTTGGCTGCCTACTCCCTGCTTATGGAATTTCCTTTGTCCTTCCTGATGCTTGCTGGAAGAGATGAATGCCAAGATGCTGGACTTCGAGACGTTCTTGCCCATCCTGCAGCACATCTCCCGCAACAAGGAGCAGGGCACCTACGAGGACTTCGTGGAGGGGCTTCGTGTCTTTGACAAGGAGAGCAATGGCACGGTCATGGGCGCTGAACTTCGGCATGTCCTCGCTACCCTGGGTATGCAAACTGAGCAGATGAAGCCCTCGTGGGAGGGCGGGAGGGCTGAGAAGGGCTAAGGTGGCTTGTATTGCGGGGGTTCCCAGCGAATTACGTCTTGACCCAGTCTATCTCCCTGGGCTCTTGAGGAACAACCTCCCCAGCTGGGTTTGCTCAGCAGGCACCAGAGTTTAGCAGAGGAGAATAGTGGCAGAGCAGGGGTTACTCCTGAGGCCTGAGAGGGAGACCCCATCTTCTATCCTTGTCTTCTCAGCCAATGGGCCCTGGAGGTTGTAGAAATGGGGAGAGGCTTCAGGGAGTGGGCGGGGCCTTAAAGCCGTTGGCCCCACCCTCAAAGCCTTTGCCGGAGACTTGTTATGAACCATTTCCCAAATGCAAGAATCTTGGACCTTCAGTCTTAGGGGACACTTGGGTTTTGTCTGTGTCTTCTTTGACATTTGTAATTAAGAGCCCACGACCTCCCAACCCCCACTTCAGGAGAGAAGATGACAGAGGCTGAGGTGGAGCAGCTGTTATCTGGGCAGGAGGACGCCAATGGTTGCATCAATTACGAAGGTATTGCTTCTGCTTCGCTTCCTCAGGGCCCAAGATGGGTGGGGGCACGATTGGCTGACGGCTCAGGGCTGGAGGATGTGTCCTCAGATGAGCTTTGGTGGACTCCCAGGTGAATGTGTTCTTTTCCGTCCTGGGAGTGAATATCCCGGTGGAAGGATTTAGGAGACAGCTCTGTGATGCACTAGCTGTGGGACTTTGGTCAAGTTACTTATCTTCTGAGCCTCGGTTATCTCACCTGAGTAGCCAGAAATGCTGGCACCTTTCTCAAGGTCATGGGGGATAATGTAGCTCATTTCATTTGTATTGAATATCAGCACAAAGAGCAGACACAACAGAGTTTAGTCTCTCCCCTCTTCTACCTCCTTCCCACCAACCCTCAAATAAGAGAAAGAATTTCAGTCTGGAGAAAGGGTGGTGGGAAGGTTTGAAAGGTGGGAAGAGGAGGCAGGTTAAGAGGTAGAGAGGAAAATGAAGGCTGAAAGGGGGCCAAGTCCACAACTGATTTTCATTTTCTTCCCCAGCCTTTGTCAAGCACATCATGTCTGGGTGAAGCAGATTCCTCCAGGGTGAGTGCAGCCTCTCTTCCGGGTCCCTGAAGGGCCTTAGGGACAATATCATGTGCCCTAGAGGTTTTTGCTTCAAGTCTGACCCCTGGAGAGGAACCAAATGGGCTGGAGATGTGAAAGCAGCCTGCCCCTGCCCACTGCTCCCCTGGGCCCTTCATTTCTCCCTACCATGCCTCCCACCTTCCCTTGTCCCCCATCTTGACCTCTATTGTCACATCTTCTTGCCTGTCTCAGGGTCTCTCAGGCCTGGGGTCCCCTGTATAGGCTGAGCATGAGAAAGCTCCTCCCAAGTGGAAGGGAGAGTCCCTGACCAATGGTCTTGACCTTGTTCCTCCTCACTTCCTTCCCTGGGCTCCTCCTGGGTGTGGGGCCACCAGACAGTGATGTGAGGCTGAGTATGGGAGGATGACACACACTTTCCATCTAGCACTGTCTTTCAGGTGCCTTAGCCATCCCAGAGTGAGTGAACAAGAGGCCCACAGTAACCCATCCGGAGTCCTGGACTTACCATTGCGCCACACCCCAGGACCCTGAGGCCCAGGGCCCTTTCTGTAAATAAACCACTCTGGCAAGGTTGGGCTTGTTCTCTCGTTCTAACCAGTCTCTGAGTGTTTTCTTTTTTCTTTTTACCTAATTAATTGAAATCTCTCTGTTTGTGATGTCACTTGAGGCTTCATGTTTACTCAGTGAAATGAGTCATATCTGGGGAGAGACAGGCCAAAAGCCCATGGATGGAGAAATATTGGAGTCAGACACATTAGCAAGAGCTTTGGAAGGATCTCCTGCCAGGAGGAGCCAGGAGTTTCACTTCCCCCCAAGGCTTGCTGTCCACCCATCTATCTCATCCCCAGGTGGTGAGCAGGAAGGGGGATACCAGGAGCTAGCCAGGGATTCTGCAAAGGAATCTTTCTTAAAAAAAGAAAAAAAAATTGTGGACTCAGTGGTGGAGCACTTGCCTCGCCAGTGCAAGGCCCTAGGTTCCATCCCCAGGACTGAAAACTTACGTAACATAAAACTAACATCTTAAACCAGTTTCAACACACAATTCAGCCCTGTTAAGGATATGCACATTGTTTGTGTAACCAATCTCCAGAACTTTTTCATCTTCTCAAACTGAAACTCTGTACCTATTAAACAACTCCCCACAGGGCTGGGCTTGTGGCTCAGTGGTAGAGTGCTTGCCTAGCATGTGTGAGGTGCTGGGTTCGATTCTCAGCACTATATATGAATAAAATAAAGGTCCATTAACAACTAAAAATTTTTAAAAAAGTAAACTATTAAAAATAAACAAACAACAAGAACACTCCCCATTCCCTGCTCACCCTACTCCTTGGCAATCATCTCTTACTTTCTGTTTTTATAAATTTGACTACTCCAGATGAGTAAAATCATATGGCATTTGCCCTTTTGTGACTGGCTTTCCACCCAGCCTGAAATCCTCAGTGTTCATCCAAGCTGCATCATGTGTCAGAATTGCCTGCCTTCCTCAGGCTGAGGAATTCCCCATGGTATGGACAGAGCATGGTTTAGTTTCGGTCCTCGCTTCTTAATATGGGCTCTGGAGGTGCCTCTTCCTCTGAGTGCAAGGCCCCAGATCCCTGACTCAGCCCTGCTTGTTCTGAACATCTCACTGACTCCAACTCCCCATCCAGGAAAGGGTCAAGATCAAAGGGTCACAGACTTCAGGTTAGAAGGATGGGGTGTGGGGAGAGACAAGTGAGAAAAGGACAGATGAGCCAGTGATTGGGAAGAAGGAGAAAGATGCTGTGAGGAAGCTCAAGATGTATATGGATAGAAATGCTCATAATGGAGCCCAGGGACTCATTATGAGGGTCCCTACACCCTGAAACTGCCCAGGGTGGAGTGGATATGTCTCACAGCCTTTCTGTTGCCCTGCCTGTTAGGCACCCAGCCATAGAATTTTGTAGAATGTCTATGAATTCCAGGCACAGCTGCTGGTGTCACGGGAAGCTGAGAACTGTGAATCCAAATTTGTCCTCAGAATTTCATCCAGCTGAGGAGAAGAGAGGGAGGCTCTTGTGTATTTCTTTCTTCTTTGAGGAAGGGCACTAGCTTTGGGAGACAGCAGTTCAATCATATATCCAGAGTTGGGAAGGGGTATATGTATCCATATATGGGTATATATATCCATATATCCATAATTGGGAGGGGGTCATGGAGTCCAATGGTTTTCTTCTTCTTTTTTTTTTTTCCTGGAGTTAGGATTTTCTTATGTTGCTTATGCTGGCCTTGAATTTAAGATTTTCCTGCCTCAGCCTCCCAAGTAACTGAGATTATAGGCACGTACCACTACTTCTAGTTTCTTCTCAAATTTTGTTCTAGCTCTACAGCCTTTTAGCCTTTTACACAAACCGAAGAGAATACTCACGGGGGAAGTCAATGCACAAAGCTGGTGGGAAAAGAGCTGCTCTGGTTGAGGAGGTGAGGGGCTACATTTGGCTTCTTGGAGCCTCTAACCGGGCTCCTTGGATGGAGCACAGCCAGAAGATTATTAACTTAGTCAGAGCTTCTAGTTGTAAAAAAAAGGCGATGGTTTCTTAGAGGCAAAGTGACTCACCCAAGGCCACAGCTAGTAGAAGTTAAACTCAGGTCCCTTGATTCCCATATGTACAAATATTTTTGTCAACATGTCAAACTGCCTTTTGAATCTTCTCTCATTTGTCCCTTTTCTCTTTGAGTGCTCTTTTTCAATCTTATTTACCACTCCTTTTTATTAATTTACTTATCAAAAAAGATATTTTAGGTACTGGGGATGGAATCCAGGGGTGCTTAACCACTGAGCCACATCCCCAGCCCTTTTTATATTTTATTTAGAGACAGGGTCTCACTGAGTTGCTTAGGGACTTGCTAAGTTGCTGAGGCTAGCTTTGAACTCGTGATCCTCCTGCCTCAGCTTCCTGAGCAGCTGGGATTACAGGTAGGTGCCACCATGCCTGGTTTTTAACTTATTTTGGTATAACATTCTTGTGGTGTTGGGATGGAACCCAGGGCCTTGTGCATACAAGGTAAGCATTCTACCACTGAGCTACCCCACCAGCCTACTGTTTCTTTAATCACCACCCTCCCCAACTTGATATGCCAAGATTTCTCCTCAGAGTTGGGGCCTCAACAGATTTTCTCCCCTCCCTCCCTCCCTCCCTTTCTTTAACAAGTATGTCCACTTGTCAAAGCATTTAGGCTTCACTCTCTGCCTCTCAGAGACTGGGACATTAAACACCATCCTGGTTCAGCTTCCTCACTGCCCCAGTCTCCGTGGACCCATGCTAGGGAGCAAGGTGCCTGCTCCAGGAAGAGAGGATGGATAGTTTCATGGAAAGTTCCCACTGTTAGAGGGAATAAGCAAGGGAGAGAATGGAGATAAGATTCAGACAAGGCCCCTTCTGGCCCCCTCCCCACTTGCTCCTTTCCCACCTCCCCACTAAAGTTCATTGGGTGTGTCCTGGCTCCTGAACTCTAGATTGAGCCTAGAGCCTCTACTACCCTTGGAGAGAAAATGGGCAAAGCAGATCCTCGAGGTAAGATGATCATGAAATGAGGTCCCCTGATGCCAGGTAAATTTCAGAGAGATGATAATTAAGAGCATTATCAAATCACTAAACATCTACTACGTGGTGCCAGTCACTATGCTATGCATGTTACATACCATCCTCTCCTAGCAGCCTATGAGTTGGGAGTTACTGCCCCTGCTTAAGAATTTTAAATAAGAATAATGACAAAAAAACTCAATTCTCAATTCTTCTAGATCTTCCCTTCCAGTTGAAGGTACTAGCATGATGTATTAAAATTGCTAAAATACCATTTTCATCAAATCAATTCCCCAGTTAGGACTTACAAATGTTCCTATGGTCTAGAGGGTCATTTCTGAACCTTTATTTATCTGCCCTCATCTGCTAGGAGCACCATTTACTGCAGCCACCTGAGCTCCATCCATTAGCTCCCTTGTGCTGTCTCCTCCTCCCCCTGTATCCTTGCCCCACGACCTCTTTAATCATCTCATTTCTCTTTCTTGTGTATTCCTTTTCCTGCCTGTTAAAATTATTCTGACTCTTCAAGATCCAAGTCAGGCTCACACCTTCCCTAGAGGTTTCCCCATTGCCACAGTTAGTACTCCTGACATCTTCAGTTCCAATCTGGTGACTGTGTTAAGGAGAATAAATTGTGGCCATCACTAATTAATGAGAAGATATCAAAGCCAGAGGAGACCTTGGAGACTTCCAGCATCATGTAATCATGGTGTTTAGCACAGTGCCACCGTGTGTTTGGTATCCTGTAAGAACTCTGATTACTAGAGGGCATTTAAGGTCCATGGTTGGTGGAGATAGCTGGAGGTGCAATGTACACCTCCTGCCACGAGATGGCACACCTGCAACAGTGTTCTTCCTACAGGACGCCCAAGCATGGGCTCACACAGTGTAATGAGAATCAGTGCAAAACTGATTCTCAGCCTGGACTAGAAGGAAGTTTCAGAAATCACTTAGTTTATCTCCATGGATTCAGACAAATGGGGTTTTTGTTTACTTTTCAAAGACTCATGGTAACTAGTTAGCTTGCTTCAGTATCCCCTCGAAGGTTTTGCAGTGAGGGTCATAGAGAGGACACTGCTGTGGACATGTGGATTACTGGCATCTGGCCCACTTCTAAGTCACAAACTCCATACCCACTTGGCCTCAGTTCCACAGGTTGCAAACTGAGGGAATTAATTAGACCATATCTGTGTGTGTTCCTTCCAGCTCTGATACTGATCATAAGAACTCATTAACTCTCTTTTGCTAAATTTGGCTTTAGTTCATTTGTTTTTATCCTTATTGCATATATGTGTTTAGAACATTAAGTGGTGGAAGGCATTAATTCAAAAGAATTATTGAGTGCACAAGCTTTATATATAAGATTTTTTTTTTTTTTTGGTACCAAGGATTTCAACCCAGGGGCAGTGAGCCACATCCTCAGTCCTTTTTATATTTTATTTAGAGACAGGGTATCCCTGAGTTGCTTAGGGCCTCACTAAGTTGCTGAGGCTGGCTTGAACTTGTGATCCTTCTGCCTCAGCCTCCTGAGCTTCTGGGATTACAGGCGTGTACCACCATGCCCGGCCTAGATGTAAGTTTTAACATTAATTAATTAATTAATTATTTTTGTGGTGCTGAGGCTGGAACCCAGGGCCTCATGAATGCTAAGCAAACACTTTACTACTGAGCCACATCCCTAGCCCTGCCAGATGTTTTTATGTATTTATTTTATTTTAGTAGGTGCTTTAGGCTATAGAAAACAATGTCACCCATGGCCTCTCCCTTTTGGAGTTCATATTCTACCTAAGGAAAAGGTTTATATTATACCTGGAAAAGTTAAACTCTGCTAAAAGATGAAATAAGACCAAGGACCTGGGGAGGATGCTCTGGGGAGGAGGTGTGGCCAGCTTGGATGGAATATAAATGGACAAGAACCCAGGGACAGGGATTCTAGTTTGGAGGCACAGGTGACTTCCTCTTTGCCACTTGGGTAAAAAGAAATAAAGAATAGAAGAAGATTGGGAAAAAGTTATGGGGAATGGGACATGAGGCAAAGAGGAGGGAAGAAAG